TTAGTCCGTAGTCAAAGCTAGTATTCTACTCCAGCGTATAGTCTCGTTATTATATTGTATTGTTAGCTTCGTGATAAACCTTGTTAGGTAGTCTAGTCTTTCTGTTAGTATCGGACACACCGCAAGTCGATACATAACAACCCGGCGATGGACGAAATTTACAGAGTCCGAGTCCAAAATCCAGAAATTTTTACACGATCTCCGGATTATTCCGGTCCGGAATAATTTTTCATTAATTTACTTGATTATTTAACATTGTAGTTTTTGAAACATCGTGGGCAATAAATTGTCCCCATTGCATAAGGAGAGCATTCCATTTTGTTGGAATTTCTGCTGTTGAACTGAGCATCTAATTTAAAAGCTTACTTAATACCCAGAAAGATTAACTAACTAATCTGCTTGCTTCTCTTGAGGAGGGCTTCAAATAATTGATTGAGGCTAGAAAATAAAATGAGATAAGAAATTGATATTATATTTTTCGTGAAGGTATAAATAGCTGTCCGACAAAAATACCGTTCACAAATTAGAGTAAAATAAACGCCCATTTCGATTAGATGAACAAATTTTAAAATAAAATTTTGGTCGTATGAGTTATAATTAGGGAACGGATTTATATGGACTATCAATTAGAGTTGCCAGCTCGCTCGACCCGAAACTCGAAAGATCGAGCGAGCCGAGGCTTTTCAGCTCGAAAACGAATCGAATAGAAAAAAACCAAGCTCGAAAAACCGAAAACGGCAACCCTACTATCAATCGAAAAATATGAACATATAATATTTAGTGTAAATCTTGAAAACCCAACGAGGCCCGGAAAAATATGGAAATCCGTATATGTCGACGGTGTATTGCCCCTATAAAATCTAAAAAATAATATACCAACAGGAGCTGCCATCTTGTCATCGTAAACAGGTTCTCTTAGCCTTGAAATTTGAAATAAAATTATTTTGTCGAAAAAATTAATTTTCACCGAGCCAAAGGCATAAATGCCGCACCAAACAACGGCTTTTCCAAATTGTTACAAGTTCCTAAATTCAAAATAAATTTAAAGCAAAATGATCTTGAATAAAATGAGATGCTCAGGGTCATAAATTTTAATGTCAATATCCTCGAAAATTTAAGGGATATATATCCGCATCTAGTTATATCCGCGGTATTTCATAACAAACCCCATCCATGGATATTATCATTATCATTAAGTAAAGCGATAAAATTTTACAAAAAAATATTTATAGCCTAGAACGATGTTCTGGCTTACAAAAATATTTACGTGTAAAAAGATATTACTTAAACATTTATCCACCTAAAAGTTTATTAAACTTTAAAAACAAAATAATTTATATTTTCCTAGAAAAGCAAGAAAACATTTTTTAATAGCCCAACTTTGCCTAAATTAATAAATAAACGAACCATCTAGAGTTCGGAATTTTAAATGATAGCAGAGATTTTTGTTACAATTTGGTCTAGTTAATGCAGGAGAACAACCAAAAGCATTGTTGCTTACACGGACATCTGATGTGGAACAGGACATCCAATAACAGGACAAATGGTCCCGCATCCAATCCTTGTTATTTTTACATTCACCAATTGATGTCCAAAATTTACAGAGATCTAAAAATGTTTAAAAATAAATTTTAATTTTTGGTAATTTGTCTTAGATTATTTTTGGATGTTAAAGCATGCTCTAACAGACAATTATGTATTACAACGAAAAAAAAAAACAAATTTTTTGGTAGACTTTACAAAATTAGGTAGTACATTATTGTGTATTTTTATCGTAATAAATCACAGCTTGCGTCCTTATTTTAACTCGTTATTCTTTGTTAATGATATCGAAGTCTAGTACATAACAAATTTAGATTAATTTTTATTTAGTTTAATGGGTTTAAATAATTTTGAGCAAAAATTTAGACGGAGGGGAATTATAAAAAATATTTTAAAAATTAGTATACAAAATTTTAAAGTATTTAATAAATGAAATAAATAAATGCCAAATTTCTCTAAAATAAACATTATTATGCTTGGCTACTTAAAAATAACATGCAAGTCTTGCAAAAGACGCGAGTGATTTAACTAAAATAAAAAACAAAAAAATTTCCGATTTTATATACGCACACGTGCGTCTTGTCGGAGAAACTAACCATACGAGTAGTTAAAAAGTCCAATTTTGTTTATTTTCTAGAAAAATTGTTACATTATTTTTTGTCATATGTTAATTAAAAATCCGGTACTAAAAATGGCTTGTACACCCATAGGTTTTTATTTTTTACTGACTAACAGTACTGAAAATTTAAATTTAAAAATTACGGCCATAAATTTAGGTAAGGTTTTCATCGGAAAAACTTTTAAGAATTGTATAAGAGTTAAACTACATATATTGAAAATAATAATTGGGACAAATGAAATTGAAGATTATTCAGAAAGATAATTTAAATCCCAAGTTGGTCCTCCTTCCATTTAAAATAATTTGGTGAATCAATCTGGTCACAATTAATTAGGTCTTCAGCCTTGGCTTGATTAAATGCATGTCTGGGTACCTGGAAGAATAAATTAGAAAAACGTTTAGGTAAAATTTCTTAAATTTGGGTTTGAATCTTGATTGGTAGCGGAAATAAAAATTGCAAATTATTTTATTTATCTAAGAATCTAATTTTTTTATTTTTTCCGTTCACTAGATGGATAAAATTTAAGGTCCCAATTAATAAAATTGTCTAAGTTAAATATTTAGACATCCAAAAAATTAAAAGCTAATGATATTGCACCGAACAATTAACTGTTAATTTATTAAAATAAATTATAATTAATTAATTTTATTAATTAATAAGTTACAAATAAAGCTATTTTTATTATTTAAAGATTTATGTTTTTAATTTGGTTTTAATTTTTTGGAAAATTTCTAGACTTTTCTACTCATTGAAAAAGCTTTAAAAAAACAAAATTTACAAACTTTTTTCATAGAATCGCAAGAATCACAAAGTATTCTAGCTAGAGTTGCACGTTTTATTTGTTTTATTTGTTCACTGGAAAGTATGTCTGGGTTCTCATAGAAAAATCTGTGGAAAAGATAATGATTAATAAGATTATTTGTTTAGAAATTGTGTTGTAAATTCTACAAAAAAATTTAGATTTGGACAAAAGTTTATTTTTAATTCTTGGAAGAAAGGTAAGAATGTTTGGACAATTTTTGATTAACACATGAGGGAATGTGCCGACATAAAAAATAAATTTCCAATTTTGGAATTGGGGAATCGAAACGGCATATTCAACCCTTCTAAAAATTTTTAGCTCGTCCGTAAATTAAATTTATGTTTCAGAATTATGCTAGTGTAACTTAGAAATCTCGCAATATTGAAACAGAAAATTTATTTACTTTTACCATTAAAATTAAAAATTGCCTAAGGTCATTGAATTATTTTATAATTTAGAAAATTCTTAAAAATTTATCCAAAATAATGCCTAATCCTGAAGGAAATAAGTTAATTATTCTTTTGTAAAACTGACCGATCACCATCTCTTAGAGCCTTGAACTGCTTGGAAACAACACAAGCTAATGTTGGACCTTAAAAAATTTTTTTTAAATAAATGAGAGCATCTCCCTTCTTCTAAAGAGATGATTTTTATTATTTAGCCCAAATGTTAATAAATCATTCGGTAACCGAATGAACATAGAAGATAAAAAATTTTTTAAGCTCTTTAACGAAAAAATGGAATCTGAAATGGACATTTAAGATTAAATAGCTAAAGCGTTGTTTAGCTTACAAAAATAAATAATCAACGCAAAGAATTATTACTACTAATATTCATATTTCAAGATTTAAATTCTATAAAGACTTTTTAGATTTTTCATATTAAACATAAAATTAGGTAGCGGGTGAATAAAGTCACCAGATTACTTCATTTTTTCAATCAAAATCGGGAATTTTTATTAATTATGGGATCTAAAAGGGAGGAAATATGGTGATTTGGACTTCAAAAATTCTTCAAATTTTTGCCTGCGGCGTAATAAAATTCCCGGTTTTTTCCCGATTTTCAAAAAAATATCGTGAATCGGGAACGTGAATTAACGAAAATTTTGAATTCACGATTTTCGTGAATCGTGAATCGGGTCGGCGCGATCCCTGATACAAAATCTATCTCTTTAATGATACATAAATTTTTAATTGGAAGATGGCTTATATTTGGTAGAAGAAATTCTCCTTTAAATTTCAAAAACCCACCAATAAGCGCCCCTTCAATAGGATCCTCTAAAAGAGCACCAACATACATATCAATCAATTCAACTTTTTTATACAAAATTTTCAAGTTTTCCCTCACAATTTCATTACTAATTGTTGTGTTTAAATCAGCAAAGTCTTTGACATGTGGCAAATTACATAAATTACGCCAAGCAATATATCCTGGAATTCCGTGGTCTCTCCCTCGTTGAATGTTGATTGAACTGGAAATTGAGGGGTTTTTTAAATTTAACTCTTTATTGAATAATAGCTAAGGTAAAAAAAGCCTAGCTTCCAAAAAATTTAAAAACTAAACTGAGAAAAAAACACTGAAAAAAAGAATGCCTACTTTTCATTCGTATGTAATTCAAATACTTATATTAATTAAATTTTTATTTTTAAAGCTATTTTTCTTAGACTGCCGCTTGCTTACTTAATGAAGTTTTACAAAATTTACTCCAAATCCTTTGAGGAAATTTATAGGTAGAAGTACAATGAACCATTAGCAGTATAGTTAAGTCACCTATTTTACAAACTTTTTAAAATTTCAAATTATTAGATAGCTAAAGCGCTGTTTAGCTTACAAAAATAAACAGAATGGTGTGGAAAATATCAACATAACAAGATTTAGCTAACTAATATAAAAATTATTTTAAATTTCTCATATTAAGCTCGAAATGATGGTTTTCTGAGTAAATCGGAATTACTTTAGTAAATTTATAACAAAAATGTTTGAAAATATTTGTCAAAAATATTTCCCCGTTTATTGTTTTGATTAAATTTTAACTTTTACCCCAAATCAGAATTTCCAAAAATCTTTTCAGTTACAGAAACAGTCAGTCTTTGTGGCAGTCTTGCAGGTAATGACATTAAACCTAAAAAATATTTTTTTGAAAATTATTTTTTAAATAAAATTTTTTTGTTAAAAATTACCTCTTACTAAAGGATCTATTCCATTATTTCTAAAAAATTAAAAAAAATTTTCTGAAAAAAATTTTAAAAAAACTCCTAAAAAATAAAAATTTTCGAATGAAAAAGTAAAGCACTTGAATCATTCCATGACCAAACCGAAATGCGCAACTTGTAAATTCATTCTAAAAATAAAAAAATATTTTCTTAAAGGATTCAGTTGTCCAAGAATTCACAAGTTTAGTCAAAAAATGAATAGTACATAATACCAATTACCCGAAGAAATTCTCCATGAAGTCTCGAGTTATCGAGGAATTTGGGCGAGTAGAGAGAGGTGAGGTATCAAGGAATATAGACAGATTAGGAAGATTTGTAGAGATAGCTCTATGTATACCTCTTCAAACCGACTCAAAAAATATTAAAAATATGAATTTTTCAATCAGACTGTCCGGAAACAATCCAGAGTATTCTTGAAATATTCCTTATTATGTTAAACAAATTAGCCAACTATAACTTGGCTTCCAAAAATAAAGCTTTGAATGGCGTACTATCCGCATAATGTGGCAAAAGCTTAGAAATTTAAATAAAACAATAGTTAAGTTAATTACTATAAAGTAGAAGATACCCCAAAAATTAATCTATTTATTTAAATAAAACCTACAAAAATTGAGGGGTCAACTTTTGGATTATATCCCTTATATTTTCCAATAAGTTCATCAAATTTTTTTCCAAAAAGCTTAGGCAAATAATCTTCATATGTTATTTTCTGAAATTTAAAATAACAAAAAATTCCCAGAAATCAAAATTAAATACTTGTATTACAGCCCCAACAATTCTTCTAGTCTCCAAATAAATTCTATCGTGGTCCCAATGAGGATTCACTTTTTGAAGAAGTAAAGCAATACTTAAAAGTAATGAAAAAGTAGGTAGAAAAGTTTATAATAAGATGGAAAACGTTTTTTCCATTTATCTCTTACTATTACCCCTCCCTTACCCTGCCTTTACCCTTACCCCACCTTTACCCTTACAATATAGAGTTTAGTCCGTTTTCAAAATATAATATCACGATCTTAGGATTTGGAAATCTCGAACAAAAAACAACGGGTTGCTACCCGTTATAAAATTTTAAAAATTTTATTTATCTCCGTACTTGAAAAACTCGACGGAAATTGGGTCGGTTAGAAATTAAATAATTGCCTAAGAATTATTAGGCACCCAAAAAATAAACAAGTGCAAAAAAATCAGGATGTTTGCTAAATTATAGAATATTTATTAACAAGACAATATTCTATTAATTAATATGTAGGGAAGCTACACAAATAAATGAATTCAAGATTTTGTATAATCAATCCGGATAGATCCTTGGTACTTTTAACAAAAAATAATTTATTGTTCATAAACCAACCGATTATGTTCCCGAACAAAAAGAGTATGCAAAGCAGCTAAACCAACAAAAATATTCGCTCTATCATCTCCAGCAATAATATTTTGATTATTGTCGACAGGTGGAAATACACGGGAACGAAGGACGTTTGTTTTCATAAAAGCACCTTGGCGAAACACAAATTGGTCTCGATGGCTGCTTCCATAAACCTTTAGATAATTACCGTATTTCTTCTAATAGTAAAACTCTTTGTTAGACCGATCCTCTCTAATAAACCGACCCGTGCTGTATACGGCATTGGGAGATAGCTTCGGCAAAGCCTGAGCCAAGAATTTGAAAACCCCGGAGCCGAACCAAGCAGATGCCCAGTATCCAGCAGTGCAACCAACCCTATAGAGGATTGTTTAAAAATAAACCGACCGGTCGCACTATTAAAAGAAATACGGTATATTAGGAATTATGATTTTATGATGTTTTTAATACATATTATATCTTTTTAATGCATATTAATTGCCTAAGTAATATTAGGCATCCAAAAAATTAAGCTCTGACTAAGAATTGCTAGATGAAGTGAATATTATGTCAAATAAATATTATTATCAAAAATCCATTCTAATAATTCATATGTAATAGATAATCTACTAAAATATGCATTTCCTTAATGTCGAGACAATTTTTAGATATTATTCTTAATAGTGCCCGGGAAATTAATTTTTCCGAACCCTGATTTTTTTGAATTTCTTGAAAAAGTTTTGAGGAAAATTTTAATCTCGCGTTCATTTAAAATTATAAGCAGCAATTGATGGTTTAATTATTAATTTTTAGTAATCTAGGTAACTAAAAAATTAATTTTAGCTCTTTTTGCAATAATATAAATTGTTTTATTTTTAAATTTTAATAAACATAAGATTTTGTTTAAGCGTTTGAATTCCCTACTGCCGGTGTTTTTGGAAACCGGAACATCGTTCGCGGCTATAAATTTTCTTGAGAGGGATTGTCGCAGACCCGAGGGCCTGCGACGTAAGTTTGGCAAGATGCCGCCAAAGCTGAGTAGACGTTGGATCCAGGAAATTGGCCATTTGGTTTTGCCGGGCTTGCTGGTGCCTATGAGCCGGGGAGAACCCCTAAACTCGGGAATTTAGTCGTTTTTAGGCTACCTAAAATTAAATAATTGGGCTGGAAGACTCGTTATAATAATTGAAGTACTTGTTAATTAATTACTATAACGAGTCTTCCAGCCCAATTATTTAATTTTAGGTAGCCTAAAAACGACTAAATTCCCGAGTTTAGCGGTTCTCCCCGGCTTAGGCACCAGCAAGCCCGGCAAAACCAAATGGCCAATTTCCTGGATCCAACGTCTACTCAGCTTTGGCGGCATCTTGCCAAACTTACGTCGCAGGCCCTCGGGTCTGCGACACATGGCGACCCAGACAGGATTACTAATTAACAACATTCATAAAAATTAACTACATTTGACGGATCCTGGACAAACTACTTCAACTTTACATTACTGGATGGATGTTCAACAATTCAATCACCTTCTACCGAAATCTTATGGACTCGTTATGCACTGAGGCAAATTTTAATTTATTATAAATTCAAAAATAATTTAAAATTTTCTTTAAGAAATTTAATTTTAAAAATAAAAATTTTAATGTTAAGCTCACTTTGTGACTTAACTCATTCCATTTATGTGAACTAGCGGAGTTGGTCGGCCTTCGGCCGCCCCACCCCGCTAGCAAAAACAAAACAGACCAAAAAACAAACTCCTAATCAACTTATCACAACCTCAAAATTGGTCCTAATCCAATCATAATAAAAAAAACCCGATTATCATGCATTGACCAGCATTAAAACATTTCCTTATTACCAATACATTTAACAAAGCAAAGCATCTAATAGGTGCACCTGATAGGGTAAACACAGGCGTCGTGTGACACCGCTAGCATAACAAAACAATTCAACTCAAGATCCGATTCAAAAGCCTTTGGCCGGCACATCTCGCTTACACATTTTTTCTCCTCACAATTCCGCTTGCTTCACAATTCCCTCTGTTTCGATATTCCTCCAGCACCACAATTCATTTGTTTCAATATTCCGCCTCCTTACCAATACCTCTTGCCTCTCACAATACCGCTTGCTTCAAAATTCCCCTTGTTTTATCCCGCCTGTTTCAATACTCCACCTGCTCCACAACTCCCCCTGCTTCACAATTCCCCCTGTTCAATATTCCGCCTGCATGAACTTTGCGCCTAGCACTTGACACATTAACGTTGGCGCCTAGCACTTGACAAATGGACGTTGACGCCTATCCCTTAACATATGAACGTTGACGCCTGCCACTTCAAGTGACGTTGACAGCTAGCGCTTGACACATGAACGTTGACGCCTGGCACTTGACAAATGAACGTTGACGCCTGGCACTTTAAGTGACGTTGACAGCTAGCACTTGACACATGAACGTTGACGTCTAGCACTTGACACATGAACGTTGACGCCTGGCACTTGACAAATGAACGTTGACGCCTGACACTTCAAGTGACGTTGACAGATAGTACTTGACACATGAACGTTGACGTCTAGCACTTGACAAATGGACGTTGACGCCTATCCCTTAACATATGAACGTTGACGCCTGCCACTTCAAGTGACGTTGACAGCTAGCGCTTGACACATGAACGTTGACGTCTAGCACTTGACACATGAACGTTGACGCCTGGCACTTGACAAATGAACGTTGACGCCTGGCACTTTAAGTGACGTTGACAGCTAGCACTTGACACATGAACGTTGACGTCTAGCACTTGACACATGAACGTTGACGCCTGGCACTTGACAAATGAACGTTGACGCCTGACACTTCAAGTGACGTTGACAGATAGTACTTGACACATGAACGTTGACGTCTAGCACTTGACACATAAACGTTGACGTCTAGAACTTGACAAATGAACGCTGACGCCTGGCACTTCAAGTGACGTTGACAGCTAGCGCTTGACACATGAACGTTGACGTCTAGCACTTGACACATGAACGTTGACGCCTGGCACTTCAAGTGACGTTGACAGCTGGCACTTGACACATGAACGTTGACGTCTAGCACTTGACACATGAACGTTGACGTCTAGCACTTGACAAATGAACGCTGACGCCTGGCACTTCAAGTGACGTTGACATCTAGCGCTTGACACATGAACGTTGACGTCTAGCACTTGACACATGAACGTTGACGCCTAGCACTTGACAAATGGACGTTGACGCCTATCCCTTAACATATGAACGTTGACGCCTGCCACTTCAAGTGACGTTGACAGCTAGCGCTTGACACATGAACGTTGACGTCTAGCACTTGACACATGAACGTTGACGCCTGGCACTTGACAAATGAACGTTGACGCCTGGCACTTTAAGTGACGTTGACAGCTAGCACTTGACACATGAACGTTGACGTCTAGCACTTGACACATGAACGTTGACGCCTGGCACTTGACAAATGAACGTTGACGCCTGACACTTCAAGTGACGTTGACAGATAGTACTTGACACATGAACGTTGACGTCTAGCACTTGACAAATGGACGTTGACGCCTATCCCTTAACATATGAACGTTGACGCCTGCCACTTCAAGTGACGTTGACAGCTAGCGCTTGACACATGAACGTTGACGTCTAGCACTTGACACATGAACGTTGACGCCTGGCACTTGACAAATGAATTTGACGCCTGGCACTTTAAGTGACGTTGACAGCTAGCACTTGACACATGAACGTTGACGTCTAGCACTTGACACATGAACGTTGACGCCTGGCACTTGACAAATGAACGTTGACGCCTGACACTTCAAGTGACGTTGACAGATAGTACTTGACACATGAACGTTGACGTCTAGCACTTGACACATAAACGTTGACGTCTAGCACTTGACAAATGAACGCTGACGCCTGGCACTTCAAGTGACGTTGACAGCTAGCGCTTGACACATGAACGTTGACGTCTAGCACTTGACAAATGGACGTTGACGCCTATCCCTTAACATATGAACGTTGACGCCTGCCACTTCAAGTGACGTTGACAGCTAGCGCTTGACACATGAACGTTGACGTCTAGCACTTGACACATGAACGTTGACGCCTGGCACTTGACAAATGAACGTTGACGCCTGGCACTTTAAGTGACGTTGACAGCTAGCACTTGACACATGAACGTTGACGTCTAGCACTTGACACATGAACGTTGACGCCTGGCACTTGACAAATGAACGTTGACGCCTGACACTTCAAGTGACGTTGACAGATAGTACTTGACACATGAACGTTGACGTCTAGCACTTGACACATAAACGTTGACGTCTAGCACTTGACAAATGAACGCTGACGCCTGGCACTTCAAGTGACGTTGACAGCTAGCGCTTGACACATGAACGTTGACGTCTAGCACTTGACACATGAACGTTGACGCCTGGCACTTCAAGTGACGTTGACAGCTGGCACTTGACACATGAACGTTGACGTCTAGCACTTGACACATGAACGTTGACGTCTAGCACTTGAAAAATGAACGCTGACGCCTGGCACTTCAAGTGACGTTGACATCTAGCACTTGACAAATGAACGTTGACGTCTAACACTTGACACATGAACGTTGACGCCTGGCACTTGACACATGAACGTTGACGCCTGGCACTTGACAAATGAACGTTTTTTTTCTTCAATTACTATTTACAATTACTATTTACAAATGAACGTTGACGTCTAGCACTTGACACATGAACGTTGACGCCTGGCACTTGACAAATGAACGTTGACGTCTAGCACTTGACAAATGAACGTTGACGCCTAGCACTTGACAAATGAACGTTGACGTCTAGCACTTGACAAATGAACGTTGACGCCTAACTCAAGAGGACACAGGACTTCAGCAAACGTAGAACAGAGCACAGCAAAGTTGAGAATGTTTTGGTAGCAGTTAAGACTGACCAAAATACCCTGCTTTTATACTATCTACTCACCCTTACAACCTAATTCAACTGGCAACGCTTTACTATAAAAGCCCCCTTTTCTTCACTCCCCCAAATCATTTTACTATAAAAACCCACTTGTCTATAAAAGGACAGACAGACACACATACCCTTCTCAATTATATAATTAGATTACTCTT